TGGGACATGTCTGGAACAACATGTCTGGGTTGCAAATGAATGGCTACAGTCCCTTTTATTCCCAGGCCTAGGAAATGGGGACCCCCTGCCCACCCTCCAGCCTGCTGGTTCTGCTGCTTGCTGCCACCGCACCAACCTTGCCAAGGCGGAGGCAGCAGGTCCGTGCCCCCCAGCTCCACGAGCTGGCTGGCATGCCACTTGTCTTCTATCAGAATGACTGGTTATTTAAGAAAAGAGAAAGAGGGGCGGTGCCTGTGGCTCAGTGGGTAGGGTGTCAGCACTATATACCAAGGGTGGTGGGTTCGGGCCCAACCCTGGCCAAACTGCAACAACAACAAAAAAAGCCAGGCGTTGTGGTGGGCACCTATAGTCCTAGCTGCTCAGGAGGCTGAGGCAAGAGAATCACCTCGGCCCAGGAGTTAGAGGTTGCTATGAGCTGTGTGACACCATGGCACTCTACTGAGAGTGATAAAGTGAGACTTTGTCTCTACAAAAAAAAAAAAAAGAAAGAAAGAAAAGAGAAAGTGAAGACAAAACAGAAAGTTTTTAATATATGTGTAGATTATCTGTGCATATTGAATAAAACTCGTAAAAGAATTTTTAAGAGAATTTGCATATGATACATTTTGCTATGACTTATAAAATTTGGCTAAAACATTTTCTTGAAATATTACTTCACTCTTAATGAAATTACATCACCTTTTTCTCTGTAATTAAAAAAGATCTCATTGCAGAAGGTTTTTTTTTAATTACCTTTTTAATAATTGGCCAACCCACTCTAAACTTTTATGTGTGATCAAGATAATCTCTGTGCTGTCTTTATTAGGATTTTGGTTAACTAGAAAATAAAACTAAAGTTAAAAAGAGTTAAGGTTTATACCCATAGAACCTCCTGTATTGCCTTTAAAAAAACTATTGACCTATAACTCTATTTGAACAAATGATGTAAGTTTTTGATATGTGAGAAACCTTCCAAAGTCAAAATTCACAATTCAATCTTTTTGACCTCAAATTAGCTTTTTAAATATTAGAATATCTGAAAGTCTAAGACAGACATATTAGGCTTATTTGATGTGTCAAAACTGTATAGGAAACATGTCAAATATGAAATGGTATTTAATTTTATTTGCCTTGTTTTTACATACACATTGTTAATATGTTCTGATGTCGTAAAATATTGAAATGTCTTAATGCATGTTATCAGTAATAATTATAGTTATGATATTGAATTGTTGTATGCCACAAAAACGACCAACTTTGTCAATCGTCTCTAAACTATGGCTATTCTAGGACCTTTCTCTTCCTTAGATAATTATTTAGATTCATCTCAGAAAGTGTTTTTCTAAGTAGCTAAGTCCAAAGTTTGTTCTTCAAGGAAAGTAATAGAAAGGCTGACAGGTTCCCTCAAACACAAACTTCTGATAACTTTGGAAATTATACACCATCAAACTAACAAACTTCCAGGGACTTTGATTAGAAAGCTAACATGTCCATGAGTATTGCTAACTTAACCTCAAGCAGAACAGAAATCAATTACATAAGACTAAGGTTAAGTTTTATGACTTTTTGTTTGAAACATTGCTGATTCCTTTGGAAAGAACACATTTTTTTTTTTTTTTTTTTGGGTTGCAGTTTTGGCCGGGGCTGGGCTTGAACCCGCCACCCTTAGCATATGGGGCTGGAGCCCTACTCCTTGAGCCACAGGCGCCACCCTGAAAGGACAACTTTTCAATAAATGATCTGAGAAAACTGGAAAGCTATCCCTATCTCTCACCACATACAAAGATTAACTCAAGATTAATTAGAGCCTTAGAAATCTAAGACCTAAAACAAGTGTTGCTAGGAAAAACTCTTCTAGACATTGATCAATTGTCCTAGGCAAAAGATTTATGTCTAAGATTTCTAAAAGGTAACTTTTAAAGTCGTAATAGTGACATTTTTGATAGCCATAAGATATTAATAAGTAATATAAGTAATGTTCTTCTTCTGGTCTATAAAGTACACCAGCAAACAAAGGGACTGTTTTTAAGGAAGCAAAGGGTGTGAGCTGGGAGAATAGCAGATGCTAAATGACCCGTAGTGTGACACAGCTGGAGTTGAGGAAGGCAGAAGAGCATTTTGTCAGTAAGTCTGTGTTGAACAGGGCACCCTCCATGGCAGCTCCTGGCCTGAGTCTGAGTGGGAGACCCCGAGGCAGCGTTATCTGCCATCCTTCCTGTGGCCAGGTTTGCAGCACACGGGAAATCAGTACAAAGTGAGGCCAACCAATGGGAGAACAGCTTCTCTCCCGGGCTCCTTACCCAGAACATCCGTTCTGAAAACGCAGATGGTTCTTTACGTTTTCCTAAAATGCAAAGCACCAGCCTTGAAAGGGGGTTTCAGCAATTATCCCGAAACAGTTTGCTGATGGGTACTTGGTTAGATTTGAGAAATTCAGGGACAGCACCTGTGGCTCAAAGGAGTAGGGGACCAGACCCATACGCTGAAGGTGGCAGGTTCAAACCCATTCCCAGCCAAAAACTGCAGAAAAAGAAAAAGAAAAAAGAAATTCACAGCTGGCACATTTCATCGTGTGTGAGCTCAAATGGAAAAATAAAACCATGCAAATTTAAAACTGTAGTTGGTCCTATATTTTGAAGACGACAAAAGACCATTGTTTTGTTCTGGTTTCTAATCGGTTGTTTTGATTTTTGTTTCAGAGGGCTCACTCTCCACTAAGTCCCCAAGCCCTATCCTCATCTGGAAGCTGAAGGGCGAGAAAAGAAAAACAATAAATGTAAGTGTTCTGCCTAAAAAATGTAAAGTGACATTTTTGTGCAGAGGGTAATTGTAAAAGTTTTGTGATCCTTAGTCAACAGCCGCTTGTTACATTACATAGAGTAATAGATGGCAGTCTTAGATACAAACCTATTTCACGCAAACAGTAAGCCCTTCTCACTTCGCTGGGGCCCTCGTTCAGATGCAGGGTTTGGTAACAGTCCTTGGGGTTGCCTTTCTGCATTTCTAATAAACTTCCAGGCAGTGCTATGATCCTATTCCATAGAATTGGGAGATTAAACTCTACAACAAAAGTCTACAACAAAAGTCACCAAAGTCTTCCTAATTCCAGTTCCTTTCATAGCTCAAAGAAACTCAGGCCTAGACCACCCACTGAGTCAAAAGTACCAACGTCCTACTAGGAGTTCTTCCTCAAAGGTGGCAACAGAGCTAGTTTAATTCCTTAGTTTTACAGATGGGGTTAATGAGCTCCTGAGGAGTTAAATCCTCAGGTATTAACCTGATCAGGATTCCAGTAGCAGTCTTCTGACCAGTGTGCTTTATTGGTGTCACTTAGGACAGGAGTACACCTACCACGGAAGAGTCAGGGACAGGATCCAGTGTCAACAGTGAAGGGCAAACCTGGGGCAGAAAACAAAGGATGATGGAACCAGCGTCTGTCCCATCAATGCATCCACAAAAGATCAGATACGACAAAGTGCAGGATTAGTAGTTTAATATTAACAGAACAGTTATGGAGAGCAGCACATCCAGAAGGGTCATCCCCCCTAGGAATGGTGTGTGAGATGTAAGGGTGGGGGGTGATCATGTGAACTCCTTTCATCCTCATGTGGTAAGTGATCCGGATTCAGGTCTCAAACAAAGCTGCCATTAAACCCCCTCTTCCTTGATTGTACTAGATCAGAGCCTGCCTTAGAGGTCTCCCAGATTCAGCTGAGGACTAAGGAGTCCATTCTACAGAGCTCTAAGGCATTTAATGATTAAGGATAAACAATCCTCTCCATCAAGTATAGCTCAACCCAAGTCTCAGAGGCAGTAAGAACAGTGAAAGGCACGCAGAATTATTCGAGAAGGTCCCCAACAGTGCCAACTCACACAGTGGACCCCTTAGTCTCTCTGTGATCTTGAGGTTACACTGATCCTAATGTTTGGCTTTCTCCCTCCTTCTAACGCCTCTTCCTAAGGATGGAAAACTTCAAAGCTTACCAGCTTAGAATGGTATGGTACCAGCCTTACCATTCTAAGTGTGTAAGATTGAAAGTGAAGAGACAAAGTAATGTAGAGAATTATCTAACTCAGGCATTTCCTAACATTAGTGGTGTAGCCTTTGCTCTGAAATCCATGTCACCTGTTTTTCATGTTGTCACTACGGGAAACCAAAGTGTGTATGAATGCTTTGAACTTCTCCAAAACAGGGAATAGGACCACTAGTGAGTGACCATGGCAAGGAAGGGGAAATCACAAGCAAAGGGAACGTGGGCACCCTTTACTTTTGTGGCAGGAAATGACAGAAGAGGTGTAAGACCCAAATCGTATCACAGCAGAAGGGGATGGTAAATGAAGTGGCAGGAGCCAACAAGAGGCACTTTTCCAGGATGATATGCTCAGATGGCAAAGATAGCAGGATCCACAGGTGACTTCAGGAAGCTAATAGCAGCTTTCACAATCGCTGGCATGACGGGGCCTGTGGGGAGGGAAACCAGAGTTAGGTCAAAACCCTCCCTGATCATCTGCTCTCAGTGAGGCCTGCTTCTACCCTGATAAGGCCCCTGATTTTCCTCCTCTTAAGCCCAGCTTCTCCTTTAATCTTCTCGGAGCCCAGAACCACGCAGCAGAAGTGAGATAATAACTAAGTCAGGAGTCCGTGCTCCCAGTCCAGGCTCACACTCAGCTCAGTACCCAGACAGTGAGGGGAAAAAGGCCACTTGTCGTCCTCACGGTTCATACTCCTCATCCATGTTCTTGTCCCTCTTTACTCACCTCCTCCTCTATCCAAAATTTAAGATCTCACACTCTTTCTGCTAGGGAAAGAACTAGCTAGGAAATAAGAATGCCTAAAGCAGAGAGATAGAGGGCGGTGGCAGTGAAACTCTTGTGGTCACCCTCTGTCAGGCCTAGGAAGATGGCTGGTCGGGTCTCAGGACTGTGCTCCTACCTGTACTGCGGCGAATCCAGGTCACAGCCTTCCTTTCCAGAAGGTTCCACTCACACTTCAAGTCCTTAGCGTTGGTATGCAGCCAGATCACTGCCAGGATGGTGGCCCAGCCTAAGGAGTCCACGAGCTGTATAACAGACAGAGTGTTCCCTGTAGGCCCCCACGGGCATGCAAAAAGCTTCACTCACCATCCTGCAAACTGCTACTAAATGTAAGTACCTGGTCTCTTTTTACCTGCAGCTACTACTTGTAAGGCATAATGCCTGGCCCTGAACCTTGGGGCAACAATCCACTTACTCTCAGGGTAGACAGGTCAGGAGTTTTAAATCCAGTGTTGCCCGGGTGTTTCTAGCACAGTCCTGGTGATAAGTATTACCCAGCTCTGGGAGGAGAAACTAATGCATTTACAAAGTCCCTTAAATGTTCTTTTTTTTTAATTTGAACCCTCTCAACCCAAACAGAATCTTAAGAAAATATCAATTAGCTACATTTTTAAGAAAGAAAACAGATTCACGCAGAAGTATAATGATTTGCCCCAAGTCAGGCTTCCAGCAAATGATAGAAGTAGAACTGAAGGCCAAATATCCTGAGTCGAGTCATGGTGCTCCTATTTCTCAACAGAAAATCCCAGCCACAGAGCAGCAAAGGGCCTCCTGTGAGTTTACAGAGCCAGAGAAATTCCCCTTTTATATCATGACCATTAAAATTCAGAAACAGCTAGCCTGTCCCGAGTCATCTTCTTCCAGGTCAAAATTCTCAATTCCTTCAATACTTTCTTAAAGAGGACTTATGACAAAGCAGTAAGAGTCTTCACACTTGTCATTTCAATCTACTACAAGTATCATAATGACTCTTTTAAAACATGTCTCCTTAAATGATTATGCCTGCAGAGAATGAGACAGCTTTTCAGCTAATCCTGCTGCATTCTCCCACTTAGGTTTCAAACATACTGATTTGTATTGCTTGGAGTCATCTAAAATCTCGGATTTCCTGAGTGGCACCTGTGGCTCAGTGAGTAACGAGTAATTAAAATTATCATTCAGGGCGGTGCCTATGGCTCCAAGGAGTAGGGCGCTGACCCCATATACTGAGGGTGGCAGGTTCAAACCTGGCCCTGGCCAAACTGCAATAAAAAATAGCCGGGTGTTGTGGTGGGCACCTGTAGTCCCAGCAACCTGGGAGGCTGAGGCAAGAGAATCACCTAAGCTCAAGAGCTGGAGGTTGCTGTGAGCTGTGATGCCATGGCACTCTACCAAGGGTGACAAAGTGAGACTCTGTCTTTAAAAATCTGATTTCCATGTGCAAGTGCTCCTGTTATTTCACTTTGCTTCTCTACTTCTATAGCTGAAAATTTACTACCTGAAATAGTCCCTGAATTTTATTCCTATTGTTTTCCATGAAAAATCACAATCCATTATTTAGAGGTGTTCTGGCCATTCTGATTTTTTTGTCTAATATGTGTATTTTATCTTCCAGTTTTGTACCTACAAATAGGAAAACCTTGATCTGTTTTCTTCTAAATCTTCACTGAAACTATGAACCTCCAGAGCCAGAGAATTCAGAGCCTGGTGGATGTAAAATCATGTTTCAATTCGAAATCGACTTATTATTCAGTGTTAAGGGTTTTCAACTAGTGTGTACAGGGTCCACGTACTTGTCATTTAAAAACATTCAAATCCAGGCACGGTGACTCATGCCTGTAATCCTAGTACTCTGAGAGGCCAAGCCAGGTGCATTGCCTGAGCTCATAGGTTCAAGACCAGACTGAGTAAAAGTGAGACCCTGTCTAAAAATAGCTGGGCATTGTGGCTGGTATCTGTAGTCCCAGCTACCTTGGGGGGGCTGAGGCAAAACAATCACTTAAGCCCCAGAGTTTGAGTTTGCTGTGAGCTGTGATGCCACTGTACTCTACCAAGGGCAACAAAATGAGACTCTGGCTCAAAAAAAAAAAAAAGCAACAAAAAAAGAATCTTTATAAAAAAATTCAAATTCTTTACTGAAATTCACATATACCAGGTTTGATGATTCCTGATTAGCCTGGTTACCATGACAAAGGAGGGAACATCAGTCTGATTTTTCCTGTTGTCAGTAAATCTAAGCTAAATCCATGATCCCTGTACACCCCTCCAAGTGTTTCTAAATTAAATGTTTTTTTGTTTTTTTTTTTTTGCAGTTTTTGGCCAGGGCCAGGTTTGAATCCACCACCCCCAGTATACGGGGCCAGCGCCCTACTCCTTGGAGCCACAGGCACCGCCCTTAATGATAATTTTAATTACTTGTTCTTACTTCTGGCACAACATTTTCCAATAGAAATATCAGGTTAGACCCAGATGTAACTTTAGATTTCCTAGAAGCTACACTGAGGCATGATAAGAAAGAGGCACAATTATCTTCCTAATATATTTTCTTTAATATATTGCGTTAAAGATTAGGTAATTAGTATAAAAATAAATATTAATGAAATATTTTATGCCTTTTTATACTTTGGAATCAACATGTATTTTCCCCCATAGCATACCTCCATTCAACCAGAAATTTAGTTTCTAATCTGTATTAGCCACATCTCAAAGGCTCAACAGCTGCATGTGACCAGTGGAGTGATACTGCATTAGAGCAATTATAGAATATCTACAGTTTATGTAATCGCTTTCCACATTTGGCAAATTCAGAACATTTGTCCTTCAAGGTTTTTGTACCTGTCTCCTATTTAACAATTTCTCAATGACTATGAGAAGACTTACTAAGAGTCTCTGAAATGTAATTTATCTTTTGTTCAGCACATTTTAACACACTGGAGATAATGAGATGGCTCCTATGAACTCTTCCCTTACTCTGACTTCAATGCACTTTTTCTAACATCTAGACCACTTCCTTCAGTATGAAGGGGACCCAGAAGGGCTGTTATTATTGTGGATTCTGAAGACAGATACGCCTAGAATTGAATCTGGCCCTGCCACTGTCTGGTGAGGTAAACTCAGATGCATTATCACACCTCCTTCAGCTTCACTTTGTTTATCTACACAATGGCAACCCCAAAAGGCTCTACCTAATTTAATTAATGTAATAAAATCATGAAAAGATCACTTCTTTCATAAGTGCTTAGCACAATGCCCAGCACAGAGTAATTGGTCACTCAATACTATTGACATGACTAAGACTATTGGCAGGAGACAAAGTAGAAGAGAATTTCTGCTTTCCCTTTGCACTAAACTATCAACTCCTACTAGGTAACCCATTGATTTCTTGTTCTTCTTGTAATCTCTGCTGACTATAAATTCATTGAGTCCATGGCCCACAATATTCTCCCTCCTCAGCTGGGTTCTGGTTAGAAATGATCATTTCTAACCTCCCTCCCTCAAAAACATACATATTCCTTTTTATATATATTTTTGGTCCTTTGGATCTTACCTCACTGGGCTGTGCAGCCATCATATCTTCCAAACTCATGTCAAGGGCCTTGGCCAGATCTTCATTGGGATCCCAGGAACCATTTGCATTTTGGAGGGATATCAGCTGTATAACAGCGTTCCCCCTAGTGGCTTTGGCTTGAGGAAGAGAGAGGATGAGATATTATAGAGCTACTGGTCCCTTAGCCTACTTCAGAGAGACTGCTAATTTCAGAGGCAGGCAGTAGCAAGAATGCTACTATAAAGTCATCAGAAGCACTGGAAGATCCCTCTTCAAACTCAACTTACGGAAGGATGATCAGAGCACAGGGCCCCAAACAGGCTGGCAACGGAGTTCTACAAGGGGAAGGCCCAGCCTGCAGGCAAGCTGTGTGGGCTGATGTGGTAATGGGGTTTGTTTAAGTAGGGGTCTCTCCAAACTTCATTGGGATAGCAGGTTTCAGGGTCCTATATTAAACATTAATGAGGCTGGCAGGGCTGACTCTTGTAAATACAGACACTGAACAAAGGACACCTGCCAGCCCCATATGCCAGGGATGGCGGGTTCAAACCTAGCCCTGGCCAAAAACTACAAAAAAAAAAAAAAAAAATTAAAAAGAAAAGCTAGCACAGCATTGAAGCTGAGTTCTTCAGTCTCTATAAATCAAAAAGACATGAACTGAGGTCCAGCTCACCTGTACGGTGAGTTCCCAACTTGTTCCTATTGGTGGCAGAACGAGTCGTTGTCATTAAATACTTTGCATGAAGAGGACGGGAAGACTGAATCTGCGGCGTATTATATTGTGGGTTATAAAGGGTGTGCATCATCAATGGGTTGAAACCAGAAGCTTGGGCTGGGCTTACTCCTGCATGTGTGACAGACAAAGACGGTTGAGAGAAGTTCCTGGAAAGAGGCTCTCACCTAGACCAGGACTCGTTGACTTAGGCATACTGAAACCATCTGGCTGGTACGTCATGGTTGCACACTGAGCAACAACCTTCTTTTTAGGCAAACACATAAGACGCAGAAAACGGGAGTGAGTAGCTGAAAAAAATACCAGTACAAATGTCAGGACTGAGGCTCTCTGCAGTGGGCAAAGGATGTGGATAATGTGAGACCTTCCCTCCCATTCACACTGACTTCTGCACCACCTTTATCCTGCACCCTCTATCAGCCTCTCTGCTTTCTACTCTGTCCTCTGGAACTCTTGACAGAGGCTAAATAAACAATCTCACCTGCACCTTTCATTTCAGGATAGGCGGCATCTTCCAGTGAAATCTTAAGACCAATTTATCCTCCTTACACAATTATTCCCCCTCAAATGGTTTTTGCTCAATTCCATCAAACTCCAAGTTCAAAGCTCACAGTGCTACATGGGAACATTACTCTTCCCCCCTCACCTAGGCGACCTGCCACATGTCCTCACTACTGTCAACTCTTTGTCCCCTCCCATGATCCACTCAAGTATCCAAAGGCTAGGGCATAGACCTCCACTCCATTCCAAGGCCTGCCATCCCCTTGAGAGATTCCAGCACCCATGCAGGCAGCCCATCAAACACCCTAATGCAAAGCTGCTTGATGTCCTCAAGTCCAAAGACTTGCACTCCATTCTACTTCACCCACTTCCTCCCCAGCCCTAATGACCTTGTTATCATGCAGAATGGTTCCACCTAGAAGAAATAAATTGGAAAAAAAAATCCTACTTTTAAAGTATAATACCTGAATTTCCCAGCTTCCTATTTTTCCTGATCTCTGGCCTCATCTGTACCACCAAGTCTTTGACCTGTCTTCTTTTCACCTATGCCTCAACCTTGTTCTATTTTTACTTTGCCTCTACTCAGCCTAAGTCTCAGGCCCAACACTCTACTGCTTTATCAATATTGTCAATTCTATGTCCCTAATTTCTGTTCCTCACGTCTATCTGGTAAAACCCAACTCTTGAAATTAAGACAACACTCCACCCCTGTCATTTTTATCCCAAAGCTGTTTAGTGCTGGAATGAATCACATAAACCGTAATGCTCTTAAACAGTTTGGTAACGTTTACAAACCAAAGTGTACACTTAACCGTTCACAAATGTTTCTGTTTCTCCGTGGGCACTCCACTCTTCAGCTGTTCCCACTGGCTCTTTCAAACCACCTCCTTTTCTCCGAATTCTCTGTTCCACCACTTCCAGCCTATTATTGCCCATTAGCTAATCTTGCTGTCTACTTAACTAAAACCACAGAAAAATCATTGGAAAGAAACTCCAAAGACTTACTTCTCAGGCTATAAACCACAAGTCTAATCCTGTGACATTTCTTCCCCTAACAACAGTGGGAGAATGGACTCGTCTTGCTGAAGTGAATCCTTCAAGTCTAGTTCTGGACTTCAGCCCGTCCTTCAACACTCTTCCCAACTCAGCTCCCCGCTGCTTCCCCGTGTTTTTAACTCTCTCCATTGACACTTTCCTATTTGTACTGCACCACTCTCAAATTCCCCCAGTCTAAAAATTTAAAGAGATATAACACAGAAGAACCCACCTGAACACCTCTATAGATATCACCCTCCATTCTCCACTTTTCAGCCTAATTTCTGTGAAAAGTCTCTATTCACATGGCCTCTTATTTGCTACCTCCCGTTTACTCATTCTCTCCTGGCCACAAGGCTGAAACTCCTCCTAATAAAATCAGCAAGGACTTCTTTAATATTATCCAACAGCCCCCTTTCACTTTTTACTTTGAATTCTCCACCACGTCTCCTACATTGATAACTTTTGTTATAACACAGTTCCCTTTAGTTTTGAATATGTACACCTTTCTCTTCCTCTTGCCTCATTAATTCCGTTTTACCCCCTTGGCTGTCTACCCCTTCCATACTGGGAATTCTTCAGGGTTTCAGCCTCAACCCCCTTTATCTCACTTTTTACCTGCCCCCTAAATAATCTCATTCACTCTCATGACTTGAGTTATTACCTAGATGTTAAATACTGCCAAATGCATATCCTCGCCCCACATCTATCTATATCCATGTCTTCCTGACGTCTCTGTGCAGATCATCTATAGCAGGTGTCCTCAAACTACGGCCCACGAGCCACATGCAGTTCACCTAGGACATTTATCTGGCCCGCCAGGTGTTTTTGCCGCTGCTGCCTGTCCTGCTTAGCAGCCGACTCATCCCGGGGCCTGCAGTTTGGCCCTCCAATGCTCCGAGGGACAGTGAACTGGCCCCCTGTTTAAAAAGTTTGAGGACCCCTGATCTATAGGCATCTCAGGAGCAAAATGCTCTAATAATAATTCAACATTTTACTCCCTAAACTTATTCCTCATTTTTCCTCCCGATTTAAATAAATAATACTATCATCTACTCAGTTGCCAAGCCAGAAGCCGGGGAATCATCCTTGATGACTTTCCACCTCCACATTCAGCTGTCCCTAAACTGACCCTCTTATAATCTGTAATACCTGCTCTCTTCTTTTTTAGACTTACCACTAGTTTTATCCACTTCTTCCTCCTGGTTCCATATAATACGCTGTTATCTAGTCTCTCCAGAAACCTTGCTTCTTTTCAAACCATTCTCCACATCAATGTAGGTATGAAAGTTATAAGACAGTGAACACATCAATCTTCTGCTATCACTCGTTCAATCTCCGTCAAAATATGGGTCAAACTCTTTAGTAATCACTGTTTACTCTTTCTTACAGAAGGGTCTGTTCAGATGCTAATCCATATACCTAGAATGGTTTTGTTCCCCACTTCTTGAAGGATAACTTATACAACCCTTGAGGTCTCAACTGAGATGACACTGACTTGAGAAGAGTCCCTTGATTTCCAGACCACCCCTCCTGGGACTGAAACCTCCCCACCTGCTCACACACCAAGGTTGTAGTCCTCTTCATGCCTTCTTGAAAATCTTTATGTGTTTCCTGCCAGCCCCCAAAACCCCCAACCCCAACTCCTACTATATAGGAACTATATAGTTTTATCACTGTATCTCTAATGATAACTACTAGAATATGTAATAGGTATTAAAATAGTTAAATGTTTAAAGAAATAAATGTTGCATAATGACATAAGGCTCAACTTGAAGCCTGCCTTTAGAACAAATACCCCAATAACTTGAATACTAAAAAACATTCTAGGAGAAATAGATTCTCCTGCAACTGTGGGATTCTGCGGAATTTCTTCGCCTGACCCAAATCCTCATCTCCATAATCAAGACAACATGGTTATGACAGAGACACTCCTGGCACTCAGCACCCACTCCCCAACACTACTAGACTGTCCATCAGCCATCTGTGTAGTCATTAACCATCTAATTATCAAGGATTTTAATCAGGACATCAGCCAAGATAACCAACTAGAGGTGCCTAAAATAAAACTCACCTCCCACCACCCAAAAAGGACCAAAGCAACAAACAAGCTACATGTGACTAGTGTCTAAAGTGGGGGTGGGGGGGAGAAGACTGGCTGCCTCCGCCTTGGGGATGTTGGTACAGTGGCAGAGGAATCAGCGGGCTGGAGGGTTGGCGGGGGGCCCCCCACAGAAGGCTCCAGTAGCCAGACAACTGCTTGGGGGACAGCAACACCTTAGGTTCCCCCCTCCTTGTACTTCTAGCTGAACAGGGAACCCCCATTGCCTAGGCCTGGTCAATTTCATGTAAGTTTCCTAGGCCTAGGAATGAAAAGGACTGTAGCCATTTATTTGTGACCCAGACATGTCCCAGACACGCTGTCCCAGATATGACCTAGGTATGTTCCAGACACGACCCAGACACACTGTCCCAGACACGACCCAGAACCCTGTCCCAGACACGACCCAGAACCCTGTCCCAGACACGACCCAGAACCCTGTCCCAGACACGACCCAGAACCCTGTCCCAGACACGACCCAGACATGTCCCAGACACGCTAAATATAACTAGAGAGCTCTGCACTATTTTTTTTTTTTTTTTT